AATTATAATTAAAAGACAACAACATTAAATGTTTAATCTTTAAGGATAACAAGTTACTAATACTGATTTCATAATTAATGACATATTTGGAATTTTAATTTCATTTAATAATTAATTACGGGTCCTTATATTGCCACGATATTTGCTGATCAGTCAGCAAACATCATAAAATTTTTAATCCTTAACCGTCAATAAGGCAATAAAATTTTAATTTCATGGTTAGCATTAGGGTTTGAGTTATCCTGCTTCAAGATATTGATTGATTAATAGTAATTTTTAATTACTCTCATCAATTTTAATGATAACATCATACAATTTTAGCCAGGAAATACCATTTCTAACCCGAAACTCAAATTTAATTAGCAATTGGCCCTCTTTTCCCTCTCCCTTTCAGTTATTTAATTCATTTAATACATTGGGAGAGCGAAACTTTTCTCTCTCTTCTTCTGCTTCTCTCTCTCAGCTGTTTCCTTCTGAGTTGACTACTGTGGTTGTTTGGCTGGGATGTTGCCTGTGGAAATCACAAAGCAGAGAATTTTGAGAAATTGAACAGGTATTTTGTGAAACTTGAGAACGCCGTTTCAAAATTGTCTTCCATTTACCTTTCACTTGCTTAAGAAACCCTACCTAGCTAAGAAGACTGACAGGCACCCGCCAAAATTTGAACAAGCATCCAGGAACGAAAAATTGGTGAATGGTGTCAATCGTAACAGCTAAAAAACCCAATACTGTCATTTTTATTGTTTTTTCTTCACACGGAGGAATTTTAATAACAATCACAGTCCTGTGGTTTGTGGTATTAAGAAATCCCCATTCCCAAACGCCGGTTTAGAAGCATCTTTCTAAATCAAACTTAACCAAAAAGGAAAAAGAAAAGAATATTCAATTATCCTCATTCTGCTACCAGAAAAGGGTATTTTGTTGTTTTATCTTTCCCTCTCATCTTACCATTAACTTCCTTTTCCTTACAAAAAAGAAAAAAAAACTTTTCTCTTACAGGAAAATTGGAAGCAGCCAATTACTATCCTGTCCTCTGCTCCGTTTGTTTGTTCTTTTTCTTTTCATCCCTCCGTTCTCTAGCTGTGCTACCTGTGTGCTTACTAATTTTCCCCACAGAGACTACAAATTAGGAGCACGCCCACCAGAGAATCACAGTAACCGAGAACTACACTCACCTGTCCCTTACACACTCACTGTCAAACCACAAGTGACATTGCACACTTACACCTCTGTTTTGCCTTGTTTGTTTTGTTTTGTTTGTTTCCTCTTCTTCAAGGTCTGTGTCAGTCTAGGTTCTAAGATCTCCCTCACCACGCCAAAACATGTCTCGCACAACAGACCCTGTTGGCCACTGGGAAGACCTCGAAACCTGGCTAAGTGTTGCAACAGACAGCCTCCTACCTAAGGCTGCTGAAACACTGAGGCATCAGACACAAGACCAGCTGGATGACAACATAGCAAACCTCATGAAACAAGACCCAAGTCAGAGCTACAGTCACAAAGAATTAGCAAAGATCACCGGCTCCTTAAGCCACACACTCATCGCCACCCTCAAGCTGAGCGACAGGCACGCCGCCCATCTCCAGCAGGAGCTAACACGCGCACAACGACGCGTCGAGCAGCTAGAACTGGAGGCTCAGGAACGACAGGAAGGGCCTGATGAAGTGGAACAAGGCGCTGAGGAGGAGATCACTAGGCTAAAAGAGACCCTAGCAGCTGCTATCCAAGAAATGGAACGAGGCAAGGCTGACCACGCTGATCTCTCCAGCAAGCTACAATATGCCGAACAGCTCCTGGAAAAGGCAAAGGCTGACTTCAGAGACAAGAACGGCCGAATTAAAGCCCTTGAAACTCACCTGGATGAGTCAAGAAACGAGATCAGTCGCCTAACACTACAGCTGGACTACATCAAAGAGAAGTCCGACAGCATCAGAGAGGAACTCAGACATGCCTACGAGCTGCGCCCTGAGCCTACAAGGACCCGACGAGCACCAGTCTCACCCCTGCCTAGCAGGACCGGGTCACCTGTTCCTCGACTGACACGTGAGCAAAAGGGGGAGGGGGCAGTGCTGAAACATTCACCGACTCCCTCTGAAGAACCTTACCTCACGACAAAGCTAAAAGAACTTGCTCCAGCCAGTCACAGATCATCGCATGGCTTGGACCTCAAAGATCTCGACAAGCTCGCCAGAAACATTGGCAAATTCACCCCAAGTGTGCCAGGTAGCCAGGATGTCCAAGCTTATCTGCAAGACGTCGATTTCCATCTGGAAATGAGGCTCAATGTCACGGACAAAGATAGACTCTATTTGCTCCGAACAACAGCCAGCCCTGACGTACGCAGTTTCCTGGACAGGCAGCCTGCTCACACAAAGGCTGACTACCACCTCCTCCGAGAGGCCCTCATTAAAGAATTCGCCGACCCTGAGTCAGAACAAGGACTAGTGGCTGCCCTGGAGACGAGACAAGGACGTCATGAATCTCCTCAAGCCTACTACAGCCGACTCAGACGAGCATACTTCGGAACTCGCAACGAACCGAACATGGAAGATGATCTAAACTTCAAAACTCTCTTCCTGAGAAACCTCCATCCTGGAGTAAGCCACCATCTTGGCGTTCTCGCATGTCCGCGAACAATGAATGCTCAACAGTTGCGTGACTTGGCACAGAAAGCCTACGGCAAACAGAAGATGGCCTCAGAAAAGGGCGCCAAAACCCCAACAGTTCTTGACTTCAACACTCAAAGTCAAGGTCTGGCTCTAGAGGGCGCCCAACATCAAGACCATGCCAAGCCGCCACACAAAGAGTGGAACACACCCTCGTCCAACAGAGAACGAGACTCCCATGCTGGTACCCGACCTAAACAGAGGAACAACCGCTGGGATGGACCGCGTGGACGACAACACTCACCTGGACGTCACTGGGAAAAACCTTGGGACCAATCCAGACCTCGTGAGACTCAATGGGACAGATCGTGGAATCAGCCCAACTCGTTTGGAAACTCAAGAGGAAAAGGCTCATGGGAATCCAACGGAACCTCCAAGGGAAAACGACAGACACACCCTGGAGCACCCAGTCCAAGGAATCCACGAAGGAACTCGCAAAGATTCCAAGCTGACCAAGCTCAAACTGAATCCATACAAGAACAAAAGACATCACAGTGTTTCAACTCACAAGAGCTGAGGAAAATGATGATGAAAGAGTTCTTCCACCGAAAGGAGGAGGATCGGAAGTGGGAAAAGAAAGAGAAACCAGAGTCAGCCTGACTAGCAGCCGGAAGAGAAGGCAGCGACCAGCTGACCCAACCAGCCACAGAGAACAGCACTCCTTCACCTCACTCTCAGAGAACCGTAACCTCCATAACTTCAGACGGACAAGAAATCCTACCTGAACAACCCGCAAAACAGTCAGAAACTGACCCAACACCTGATGCGTCAGATCACAGCAGCGTCCAACAAACACCTGCTGACGAAACCACTCAAGTTCCTGAAAGTGCTGTCTTGGTCGTCTGCAACTCCTCTGACGAACACCAGATCAGTCCTGACATCCTACCTGCCTCATCCCAGACTCCAGTCCCTCAACTACTGGGCGACCTCATTAAGAAAGGTATAGCAAGAAAGTTTTACCTCTCCATCATCATCGAACGCCACATCAAAGTCGAAGCCCTCCTGGACACGGGAGCCGACATCACTCTAATGTCAACTGAACTCCTTGAAGAAGTCCAAGAAAGAACAAAGAGGTCTAATAGCACCCTCAAACTTCAAAGGTGCGAGCTGAACCTTCAAGCATACTCCCACACGGGCCTACAACTAAAACACATGGCCCCAATTCACCTAACAGTGGGACCAATGGACCTTGTTCACCCAGTATACGTCTCACCACTCAACACGTATCCACTCCTCATTGGAAAAGACCTGCTTAATCGCTTTGAACCCTTAATTGACTTCAAGCAACTAAAGATATGGATGCAAGTCTGTGAGCCTCTACCCTTCCAGTCAGTAAACGCCAACGAGTCACAGTGTCAAAAGATATGGACGCAAGTCCGTGAGCCTCTACCCTGCCAGTCAGTAGACTCCAATGAGTCGCAGTGTCAAACCACAGACACCGCCGCCAACTCACTGACTGATGATGCAATGTCAAAGCCAGGGCCAGGGCCAAGCTCAACTCCAAGCAGCAAGAACCTGGACCCTTTCCTCTGCTCATTGCAGGCGCCTGACTCAGACTCAGGCCTCCTTCGAATCATGACTGCCATAAATGTCCACGACACCTCAGTGTCCGACGCAGCATTAACCCTGTGGGCGGAGAACTCAGCTATCAGCCTGAAGCTATTCAGAGCATTGAAACAAAGACCGCAGAGCCTCCCCCATGTCTCAAGACACAGCCGCTTCCCTCTCAGTCCCTGGTCGACAACCATGGCTACCTCCAAGATCATCTGCGCTGTGGACATACGATGGAACAACAGACACCTGAGTCACTACTTCCTCGTTGTCCCCAACCTACCTCATGACATCTGCATTGGAGCAGACATCATGGTCCGGCTCAATGCCTGTGTGGACATCGTGAACGACGTCATATGGGCTCCCCTGTCGCACCAACTTACCACTGCAGTCAACCTCAAGAACCTTCGATCTGGTCAAACAATGCCAGACGCATGCGCCATGATCAGTGAGCAAGAAGTTGCAATACCTGCCTACAGCAAGAGTGTCAGCGTCCGGCCTCAACATGCGACCTGGCCACTCTCTCGACAGTAAGCTAGGCTTCTTCCAACCTTCCAGGACCTGCCTAAGACTAGGACTGACCTTGGAAGCCACACCTCTCATTGAAGTGTCATCTCGTGCTGTGTACGTATTGTTCAACAACTGTACGGCCAAAGACATCAACATTCCCAAAGCCAGTCACCTGGGATGGCTCATTAACCAGACGTTCCATGACTTTGAGCTAACGGTACCGGTCATAGGCCACATACCAGTCCAACTACTGTCAGATGAATATGATGACACAGTAACGTTCACAAGACCCAATGGAACCATTGCCATTACTTCTATTCTGCCAGTGCCCAGAGAGAGCGTCTGCTGATCAGAAATAACAGACGACACTCACCTCACACTCAACACAGTCTCAACACAGCCCGTGACAGAATCACCTGCACAGGTGACCATCAAGGCACAGAGCCCCTCAAATGACTCAACCATGGAGGAACCCTACACCGGGTTCGCCGCACAAATCCAACAGATCCTGAGTGAGGCGGATGGCCTCCACAAGGAAGCAGATCTCCAAGGACTCAAAGAGGTTCTGTACAAGTACAAGGACTCCTTCGCAAAGGACTCCGTGGACTGTGGCCTGACCAACATCCACACGGTGTGCATTCCGACACACCCAGATGCGCCACCCACATTTCTGCGACAGTACAAGATTCCAATAGCGTCATATGAGCCAGTGCAAGAAATTGTTGACTCCATGCTGGAAAAGGGGGTCATCCGGCCCTGTAACAGCACATACTCTGCTCCGATATGGCCAGTCATGAAACCCAACGGCAAATGGCGGCCCACTATCGACTACCGCAAGTTGAACCAACAAGTACCCTTGTCACGATGGCCAAAGACCCAGTTGGACCAAAAGATTCCCAAAATCAAAGGCTCAATGATCCTTTCCACAATGGACGTCGCCTCGGGATTTTGGACAATCCCCGTCCACCCTGATGACCAACACAAGCTGGCATTCACCTTAATCCCTGTCCACCCCGATGACCAACACAAGCTGGCTTTCACCTTTGGCAATCGACAATACACCTTCACACGGTGCCCCTTTGGCTATGTCAACTGTAGCGTCTGGACCAATCAGACACACCATTTCTCATTTGATT